CAATCATTTCCCCCAGCACATCCAAGGACAAGCAAAGGCGTGCCAACCAGCGTTCGTATCTCTGTTTTCGAGCATGGACTTGCAAACATCATCAGCTCAATTTGTTTCCAAGTTTTACTTCACTGCTGAAGCTCCACTGTTTCTTTGTAGGATTTATGATTTGGTTTGCAATGGTCCTCATTAATCACAGCACAAATAATGACTTTCGGGTATTCTCAAGGAGTCTGAAGGTGCAGACAGCTCAGCAGGTTTTATGCTGGCATGTCCCCAAATGGATCGATGAAGATTTTGCTGATCTCACTGTGACAGGATTATACTGGTTTGGTGAAGAATAACACCAGTAGGAATAACCTCTGATTGCCAAGAATGGCCTCGGCTATATATGATATTTATGTGAAGCAGGCAAGATTATCAACATTTTAGAATGCTGTAGAAGCTAAGACATTGAAATAACTTGGCCAGGACCCTGTAACTCATAACTTTATAGAGCAAAGATTGTCAACATCCCTGATCCTTGAGCTAAAGTTTCAGTAGTTCTGGTCACATTCTTATGTCTGTTTTCTTCAAGCCATTTGAAGCTATTCTCAGTGAATGTGAATACTTTGTAACGTCCCCTGACATCATAGACCTATGGATTGATACCTAGCATAACAATGCATATTTAATGCTTAAAACATACAACAAATAATCTAATGCCTATAGCCCGGAAAGCACAGCAGCCAGCATTCATCTGAATAATTGCTGAGTTGAAATCAAAGATGGAAAAACACCTAGGATAGACTTAGATGAAGCAGTTAGTACAACTGATTATGTTTTCTAATTCATATTTTCCCGAGGTTTTAATATTTATGAAGCATTTTGTAAATATAAGCCTTTCAACATCTGTGCAGTTAAGATTCATAAGCTGAATTTCACAGATGAGCAAATGAGCTCAGTGAAGCTCAGTAATAGACAGGGATACACAGTGAATATGACCAGCATATTGCAGTTAACATTTGCCAACCAAATACTTTGGATTTCCATAACACAGGAGGATTCTGTTTAGGACACATTAACTATTTCTATTCTTTCTCAACATTCATAGTTAATAAGGTATTCTGCCTCCTTGGAAAATTCTATAAATTTCATATATGCACACTCAGGGAAAGTAGCTTCAACAATTTAAATATATGCTTTATTTGTGGTAACCACATTGAAAATAAGGATTTGAAAAGCTGGACATGCAGAAGAATAAAATAAATTTTAATTCTGTCACAGAGTAAGTCATATTAAAGATATCTTGGCGGCCTCAGTTGTAACAACTGAGTTTTCAGTTCAGTTCAGAAGTATCTGCCCTTTGAGATAAGGGTCATGCTGCAGCTGGAACATTAAAGAAGACACGCAGATCACCGTTCTTGCATCTTGAGAAAGCAGCTACCTCCCGGCAAACACTGAACCTCCTTCTGCAATGTTGCAGTCCTCTGTGATGTAACTCATGAGAAGTTAAGAATGTAATCCCAAATAGCCAAACCGTTTCAATATGTCTTTCGTGATTTTGTGTCTTTGGGTTTATATGACCATTTTTAAAGACTGTATTTCATGGTCTCATTTCTCATTCATGCTTCAGAGGTGCTGCCTGTACCAAGCAGTCAAAAGCTTAGTATATTAGTATTTGTATTATTTTCCTCATCCAACCCAATAAATGAGCTACATAATGCCCTGTGCAGGGCACAGCCAATAATTTAGAATGGATTACTGGGTGGCCCAATTCCAAAAGCAGTTACCTGATCTATTTTTTTCAAAGCATCCCTTTTCTTATTCTATTTGCACTCTTGTCTCAGGAGAGCTTCCACCAATTTGTATGTTAATATTTAAAATTCCTCATTAGTACAAAGTCATCTAGCTTTTCAGCTCCAAGTCTCCTCAAGCATCACCCTCTCAGGCTTGGTAATATAAATGTGCAGTTCCTTGTGTGTTTAAAGGAGGAATATTTTATTTTGGGGAGTGGTACCTACTTAATCTCATATGAAACCCCTGTGTCCTTTACATTCCACTGCGTGGCTATGCATGGAAGAAAAAATTACTTCCTGGGCTTTCTGTTGTTTTGTGGTTTACTTTCTACACTTAGTGATAAAATATTAAGAAAATATCTGGGCTTACTATTAGTGATTGGCAATACATTGATATGCACATTTTCTGTACCATATATTCATATCTTAGGAAATCCTCAGTCTTACCCTCTCCCCCATCACAACCCTTCTTCTTCAATAAATTTAATGATGGGGTGGTAGGCATTTATGACGACACCTGGTTCTTAAATTCTTTTGATTTATTAGCTCCCAAATCTTGCCCCTTAGAAGACTATTTTGATAACAGAGAAGCCAGTTGATAAGTATCTTAAGGAGCCAAGTGAGATGTTCTGTATCTTTCCAGCGAGCACCTTCAGTTCTCAAAGTTCAAAGGGAAGAATTACGTTCATTAAGTTTTCACTAACTAGGCATTCTCAAATAATCAGTGTTTGCCTGCCTGCAGCTGGCCTCTTTGTCCTCATACTTAGAATCAACATAGATATTTTCTATCTTCACTTTTGGTGCATCTGCATCTGTCTTCTGTCTGCTAAAGAATAGTTGTGAACCATTTGCAGAAGGGTCACCTCTTCCCATGGTGCAGCAGTACCTTTCTGCTTGCTGGCAGATCATATAGCATTAGCTTGAAGGCGAGAGAGATACTTTGAATTGGTCAATAATTCCCTGAGGTTTGTCTCAGAAGTTTACTGAGACAAAATGTGGTAAAGGGCATGAGCTATTTCTTAGGGTATGTGCATTTGCAGGTGATATGCATTACTAGAAGCTGGATATTTAACTTTCACATTTTCATGTGAATTATATTAACATTCCTGGGTGAGAGCTGATATGGGGGGAGCCTGAAGGACAATGCAGTCTTCTGTTAAGAGAGTCTGATGTGGTAGTTTTTTTTTTTTTTTTGCAAGCACAAAGATTGATTAAGAGTTAAATTAAATCACATATTTAATCTGGATTCCAAAAGATTAAGTGCCAATAATGTCATTTTTAATCTAGCCTAAATTAATCTAGATAAAAATTAAGGTAGGACTTAAAAATTATTGGTAGTTGAGAAGATATATTTTTAGAAAATATTGTTTAAACTATGTAATAGAATATAAAGTGGAAAAACACACTCAAATAAGTACATTGTTTGAACAAGGTAATTTTCATACTATCACTATTGACAAAATTAGTTCTACTTTAAGAAAATGTGTCTACTTTAGCCCAAAGTAGCTCAGGTGTAGGAGGGTGAAGTAGATGCATTACACATTATATAGGAATGTAGAATATACATTCTCACCCACCTGAACCAGGCTGTGAATATCCAGTTTGCTCAAACATCCACGGAAGTTGATTGTCATGTTGATTCCTTATGATGTAAGGGAAGAACATATAATTCAATACTAACTTTGAATTTTAACACTTGATGGGTAGCTAACCATGGTTCAGCCAACAGCACTCTTTGATCATCTAAACAAGCAATTAGTGTATTAAAATTCTAGAAGGGGAAATCCTTAGATTTCTAAGGAACAGACAGATTGTGAGCTCACATAGACACAGTACAGGCTTATAGAGAAGTGAGGTCCTTTACAGAAGCTTCTATACTGGAAGCTAGCATAAGGAGGTGACTGGTGACCCCTCTGAGTCAAATTTAGGTACAGTAAATATCTTTACTTTTATAAGATTTTTAAAAATAATTTAAACACCATTGTACAGCGAATGCAGTGAACTACGGATTTTTTTCACCCCAAAGAAGCCATACTTCTTGCCCAGGTTTCTAGAGCAGTCCAGTGGCAGTGCTCACTTCTGAGTCCAGGCAGTGTTATAGTTGCTGCTCCCTTTATGCTCTCTCTGTCAGTGTGGCAATGGCAGTGTATGGACAAAAAAACTGTGGGTCCTACCTCTTGGCAAGTTGTACGTGTGAAGCTATGTCTGTGCTCTTGGGAGGGGAGTGACCCCATTAATCTTTCAAAAGGACATTTACTCCATGTGTCACACTGCACTGCCAGTACAGGATGGGCGACAGAACAAGAGCTTTGCTGCATGCCCAGTATAAGGCAATCAATACACACTGGGGAGATCACAAAATATTTTAATTTTAACAATAATGTTCATTTTCATCCACTGTTTCAAAGGTGCAACCCGTAACAATCAACACCATTTCTTCACACACACACACACAAAAAAAAAATTACTGAATGGGAAGGTTAGTGACAGTCCTAGTCAGGGGACCAGAGGAGTAGTCAAGCCCCTTTATAGCCTTGGAGCAATTTTCTGAATGAAGTCTTACATCATCATCTATCTTTAGAGTAGCCACATTTTCATAAACTGGCAAGTCATTCTTGTACATTTGGGGGCATCTTACTTACTTTTACTGGTCAAAACTGCCTGTCCTATCCATCACTTAGAGTGATCTGTCAAGCGTTCTCTGAAATAATTAGTTGTTGAGTGGTGTTTGTGATTATGTGGTGGTCCATCTCACATCAATTTAACCGTCCAGAAATTTCCAGTGCTATTACCACTCCATCCTCACACTCAGTCATCTGCCAAATTAAGGCCGCTATTGCTTGGGGCTTATGTTGTATTTCCCTGATGACAAAGGCCTACCACCAAAAGCCACCAGAACAACCTATTAAAATGAATGAACGGCCCAGAAATCTGGTAAGTAATTTCACAATCTAATGAGAAGGGCATAGCTCTTGAAGTTGTTTTCCTTCCCTTGCCTTGTGCACATGATATTTTCTCTGCCTGCTGGACTGAGGGGTGTGAGCAAGTCAGGGTGGCTTGAAGGTATTGCCTAAGCTGGTGTGCAGAACTCACTAGGCATTACAGAACTGGCTCTCTGCATATGTATAGCTCCTAAGCTACTTAAATATCCGCGCACACGTGTGAATAGCTACGTAAGACTGCATTTGGTATGCCTGTGTTATGATTCCGTGTGAGTCTCCTGACCTCAGAGGAATTCCTGTAATTCCCTGAACTCTGGAGTTAGGGACATGAAGCACATAGCTCTTTCCGCCTTCCCTGGTGACTGGTACCCCTGGGTCCCAAGAATCTGCAATGCCTCATCTCTCAAGCAGCTAATCAGAGGAGACTGAGAAGATGAGATGAGAAGATGAGATGGGAAGAGCGGGTCCTAAGATGATGTCTCCGAATATAGGAGCCTTGATTCTGCGGCTTTATTTACAAAGCCTTGGAAAACTGGAGGGAAGGCAAAGCCATCCAGAATATAAAATCCTTTGAGATAATTTCTGTCATCATTCTGGAAGCCACACCGCCCAGCTGCTGTCCAGCGCAGGGGTCACGGAGTCCGGGCAGAGCTGTGAACAGAGGCTGCAAGTCGCAGGCGCCACCCGGACACTTTGCGCTTCGGTGGGCTTTGCGCCCTGAAGACGTGTCCCCGCACCATCTTCCCAGGCGCTGTGCGGAAGGTCTGAAACAGCCCAGCTGGTGCCTCGAAAGGGAGTTTCTAGAAGCTCCATCTCTGCTGACTCCCCTCCCCTTCGGATTTTGGATTTTACCCCCGCCAGGGAGCTAGCAGCTGCAGCTCCACAGCATCCACCCTCTCTCCAAGGGGACCAGGTGCCTCCGACGCCGCTTTCCGCGGGCCGGCCCGAGGGCTTGACCCCGGCGCTGCGGTGTGGCGGATGCTCCCGTGTCGGGGCCGGGGACTCCCCGCCCTTGCGCGCGACCCCGCGCCCGGGCGGGCGGCGCTTGCGGCGGGCAGGGGGCGGGTAGGGCAGCCTGGACTCGTCCTGGGGTAGCCGCCTCCTCTGCATCCTGTCCGCGCATCCCGGAGCCCAGCCGCATCCTCCGCCTCTGCCTCTGGCGGCTGCCAGCCCCCGCCTCGCGCCACCTCGGCCTCCCGCTGCCCCCGCCCCCGCGCCCCCGGTGGCTGTGCCTCGGCTGAGCCCTGAGGGGGCCTGTGGCTCGTCGGCCGCCCGCTCGGCTCGACTTGGCCGGGAGGCGTGCATGCCCCTGCAGCCCGCGGCGTTCATCAGCAGCATGCTCTATTTCCAGATGGTGATCATGGCAGGGACGGTGATGTTGGCGTACTACTTCGAATACACGGACACGTTCACTGTGAACGTGCAGGGATTCTTCTGCCACGACAGCGCCTACCGCAAGCCCTATCCGGGCCCAGAGGACAGCAGCGCCGTGCCCCCTGTACTCCTCTACTCGCTGGCCGCTGGCGTCCCGGTGCTCGTGGTAAGCCCAGGGCTACCAGCCCTCTCTTGCCTTCTGCAGATTGAGGATCCTCCAGGAGGACCAGTGTACACCAACCTTTACCATCTAAGTTTCTCCAACTTGGTGACAGCCCTCTTCCTCCAGAGGACATCCTTCTGGGGATCACGGGGGCGGGGGTGAGAGGGAAGCCTGCAGGGCTGGGTGGCTCAAAGACAGGGAAGAGCTCTGCAGAAGGTGATGGGTGGGTGGCGGGATGCAAAAGGGTGAGCCTCTGAAGCGAATAGACTGGATCCGTTCTGTGGCCCTCCCTAGCTGGTTGGCCTCCTCCTGGATTTTGCTAGGAAGTGGAGCAGCAGCCTGGGGTGGGGTAGAGGAGTAAGATGCTGGGCTGGAGAAGGGATCCCTGCCCATTGGGGCAGGGGCAAATGCTTCTGTTTTATCCCCCTCCTTTCCCTCCAGATGAAAGAGCCAGGTGCACTGAGCTGGAGATCAGCTCACAAGTATCTAAAAATGTCTTTGGGCATCTGTACATGAAGAGGTCTCAGCAACAGGGCTTTGCTGGAAAGCAGGAGCGGAGGAACCTACATCACAAGAGCACTTTAGATATTTAAAGGCTATCTTCTCCCTGGACGGCTCTAGTGCTTGCTTCTTCCTTGCTAGATTTATTGACTCTCTCTCTTCTCTCTGGTGTGTGTGTGTGTGTGTGTGTGTGTGTGTGTGTGTATGCATGTGTGTGTGTGTGTGTGACTGTCCAAGTAGGGGGAGAGGACAAGGCTATGTAGATAGGCTCTCTCTCTCTCTCTCTCTCTCTCTCTCTCTCTCTCTCTCACACACACACACACACACACACACACGCGCGCGCGGAATGTAACTCTTGAGCTAATGAATACAGCACAATTTGTATATATGAACACAATACAAAGTTCATTGTAGGAGATGGCTGATATTTCTTTGGAGACCGACTGCACTATGGTTCCTTTACATTGACAAAATATCTGAGGTTCCCTTCCCATGAAGCTCCCTCTCCTTTCTACCCCCCCCTCCCCCCTCCCCACACAATCAATAAGAAGCTAGCTAACAGAAGGGCAAGGGAGCTTGAGCTTTCATTTCCCACAGCTGAAGGTATGAACTGAAGTTGTGAGTAAGTGATCTACGGCTCCCATTTTCTAAGATTTTTGTCTTTGCTTTGGCCTTCAGGGAAGCGATTTAAGAGTTTTCAAAATGAAAAGTTCTTATTACAAAATGGCAACAATACAAATAAACCAAGCCAGTTCTAGATAGCGTCAAAGTAACTGTTGAACACGCCACTGCACAGATGACTTCAACTTTAGCTCTAGCACAATGGTTGAGCCTGTGTTAGGACTTCCTTCCCTTGGAATATCTTCAGTTTGATTTTGTTTTTGACATTGGCTTTGCTAAAATGTGCCAGCAATCCTCAATGCAGTTGCAAGCTCCAGTTCTCTCTCTCCTAGTTTGAAAAGTTGCCAGAACAAAAGGTGTCCTAGTTTCTGGGGTACTTTTTGACTTTGCAGATTCTGGGTTTTTAGGCACATGCTTTCTAGGAGATTAAGTAGCACAGAGAATTTTTTTGTCATGGAAAAAGCCAATTGCTTTTGGGTCATTGACTTATCTGCAACCATAATCAATATGTCTGTCTCTGTAATTGGCATTCAGTTTCCTCAGTAAGATAGCATTGCCAGCCTTGGACCATCCATCCCTGGTGGCAAGAACCAGTTTAGAGTTGAGAATACATTGGTCCAAGACTTCTCACTTTGGGGAGCCCTAGGGAGAACTGAAGGGGATAACGGAGCTAGCTAAGCACCACTGAGTGGAACTGAGCTGCTGTAGGCATGCGCTTTTAAGGACCAGCCTCTCCTTATATTAGAGGAAACTGAGGTTCAGATACTAGAGTGGAAATATCTGAAAATGACAACAATAGGTAGAACTGGTGTTCACATTCACAGGAACTAGTGCCAAGTGCCATGCTTCTGCTTTCAAAGCTGGCTGCTGGAGATGACATGGAGAGACCCGCAAACTGAGATTATGAAAGGGGGGGTTCCAACTTGACTTTCTTGTGTTGACCTCCAGATATGAATGAATAGATTTAAAAATTAGTGTGAAGAAAAAATATTGGATTTTGGATGGTTGTACTTTGCTTCCCTTCCTCCTAGGAATAATAAATTCTGCTACCACATGATGAGCCAATGCAGCAATGGCAGCTTGCTTCTCCATTCTTCTTAGGAACATGGCCTTACCCATACTCTTTTCTCATAAGAATAGCAACAATGTGAACAATACCCAACCACGGGGAAGATAGTATTTTATTCTTGAATACTCGAGTATGTTTTCCACATACTGTGGGGGTAGCCGTCATCTCTGAGATCTATCATTTTTTTCATAAGAAATTTTTTCTGGGTGGTGTTGTCTCACGCCTTTAATCCCAGCACTCAGGAGACAGAGGCAGGTGGATCTCTGTGAGTTTGAGGCCAGACTGGTCTACAAGAGCTAGTTCCAGGACAGGCTCCAAAGCTACAGAGAAACCCTGTCTCGAAAAAACCCCCCAAAATCAAAAAAGACATTTTGATTTTATTTAATTTTATTATTTCATGTAGGGCAATGGACTTCAGGCACTGGAGTTACAGACAGTTGTGAACTGCCATACGGGTCCTAGGGACTGAACCCAGGTCTTCTTGAAGAGCATGCAATGCTCTTAACCACAGAGCCATCTCTCCAGCTGTTTCATAAAACCATTTTGGGAAGCAGGGGCTGAGAAAGATTATGTGCTCAAGGACCAAAGTTAAAAGGTTGCCTTAATGGTTTCAGCCCTAGTCTTCAGTCATCTAAGTCTGTGCTTTTTCTGTTATCAATTATTGATTCAATCTGATCATAATCATTATTCTAATTAAGTGCTTCAAGCTCTTTCCTTGTGTCATATTTAGTGCATTTTGACTGCTAAGGTTCATATTTATTGATTTATTGTCTTACCTTTTTATATGTGTTCTTAACCTGGAGGGTGATTTTAAAATCTCTTCAATATTTCTACCTGTGGATTATTTTTTATTTGTCCCAAAATTTAAAAGCTTGTGCCTTTTGGGACTACATTACATTTATTTATTTACCTACTTATTTATTTATGGGCAGCGAGAGAGGAAATTTCTAAATATAGTCACAGTCTAAGATGTGTAATCTTCCCCCTAATGTGGAGACTGCAGGCACATGACTTTACCTGGGTGAATTTTAGGATTGGAAACTTTACTTGCTGTGAAACCTTGAAATTTTTATTTAAGCTTATTAATTCTCAGTTCTTTCAGTCACAAAATTTTGCATTTAAATTACTTATCATATGCAAATATCCTTTTTTCTTCAAGATTGATACTTTCTCATAGGTCATTGACATGTGTATTGTAATTTGGGGTGCTGGGGATTGAATCCAGGGTTCTGAGGAGGTTTGTTCCTAGCTCAGCATTATTATTAATAAAATAATGGTCAGGAAAAGTTTCCTGGATCCTTATGTTTCAAACATGTGTCTGTTAGTGCAGCTACTCTTAGGGTAATTTCAGACATAAACTACAGTTGCTGATTCTAAGAAGTTTATGGAATTTGAAAAATTCGAGAAACACACTGACAATTACAGTAATCATGATATGCTTGGCTGGGTGTGGTGATGCATACTTGTAAAAGCAGCATTCAGAGGCTGAGGCAGTAGGATCATCAATGTCAGGTTAACCTGGGCTGCATAGTGAGTTGAAAGTCTTATCTTCAGAATAAAATCCTGTATCCAAAAAACAAAGCAAAATAAAACAAACAAACAAACAAAAAAACCAGCCAGGGATACAGTGCAGTTGTAGATTCTGTCAGCTTAGTATATTCAGGGTCCTTAGTTTAGTCCCCAGCACTGCAAGAAAGAAAAGAAGTATGTTGATATGTAGAGACATATGTATATGCACATATGTGTGTGTATATATCACAAAGACCTGTGCTGATACAGGGAAGGTCAAGATCACTTTCAAGGGTGGGAGGAGGGGGAGAAGGGGGGGAGGAGGGGGATGGAAATGGGAGGCTGGGAGTAGGTGGAAATTTGTTTTTTTTTTTCTCCTTTTTTCAATAAAAAAAATGGAAAAAAAAGATCACTTTCTTTTGGAGGATTGAAGGAAGACTTCATAAAATACTTGCATATGATGAATACTTTATCTCTAATTAATTAATTAACTATTTTTTGTAAGTGTCAATACCAAGAGCTTTGTGTAAATACTCGGAAAGTGTTGTACTGGTGAGATGCATTTCCAGCCCTTGGGATTTGAGGGTGTACCTACAGCTTCATATCAAGAATGTTGGAAACAGATAATGACAGGGGCTTCCTTTCATTAAGTCTGTCCTTGGATAACCACTTCAGTGTTGTGCTACAGAATACAACACAGATAAGGGCGTTAGATAAGTCTGGACTCTTAGTCTGGCTTCTTTTACTAATTAACCAGCAATTTTGACGAAAGTTTCTTATTTCATAAACTGGAGATTAAAAAAAACCAATAAAACAAATAAACAAAAAACTTAATTTCCTGCTGGACAGGGTGGCTTATGCCTTTAGTCCTCCCAAAGCACACAGATTTGTGTGAGTTCCAGGCAATCCTGGTCTATATAGTGAGTGGCAGGCAACCCTAGGATACCTCATGAGACTCTATCAAAACTAAAATGAAAACAAAAATCATCCCATGAAACTAAAATAATATAAAACCACATCTAACTCCCGGAGAGCTAATGCAGGCGGAGGTTCAGATTCGGGATTCTCTTGCTTGTGTGTAAGTCTATTCTGGTATTTTCCAGTGGTAAGAACTTGAGCCAGTGTGTCTCTCTGCCCAGATTTCTTCAATGATAAAATGGAGGTGTTGTGGAAATTGGCCTTGCGGGGCTTTTGTGAATGTACAATTAGTTTAATGCGCATATGTGGTGGATTAGTGGCCCTCTCTATGCCTCTGTGGATCGCTTTACTCAGTACCACTGTGAGAATGCTCTCCTCAGATACT